GCAGACAATCATCGAGGAGGTACAGGTCCGCGCGTGATGCCGTCTCAGTGCAGACCAAGGGCGGAACGCCGCCGAGCCGCTCATCCCAACAAACCGCCGCGCTGTCTTCAACCGCAACGGTCCCGGCGAGTTCGTCACCACGGGCAGAGCTGCTCACCGAAAGTCCATCTCCGTGCGTGCGCCCAGCGCGCGCAACGGGGGTGGCCCCCATATCCACCATCGCATCAGCATCAGGCGGAACTGTTTCCAGACTCTGTGGGTCGGTCAGGTCCAAGTCGTCACCAAGTCGAAGGGTCTCCGGCAGGGGAGTTGTGTGTGATTCAACGGCGCTCCATTCCGCGATGGTGGGTGACAGCTTCTCGATGGTGCTCGCCACGTTCTGCCACTTTCTGTCCCGTATCGCGGCCCCAACGGATCTCAAACACTGCAAGCTTGCGAAGAGCGTTCGAGCCCGTGCTCGGTCAAGGACCCTGAGTAGGGCCAGCCTAGTATCCTTCTCCGATGGTTTCTCGTCCGGTTTCCCCTCATAAGGTGACAGAAGAGCATCCCAGAATGGAGCTGCCGTTGATTGCGTGCCGGGACTCAGAGTCGGCCACTGACCGCATGAAAGGGGGCGCATCCAGGTGTTGCAATGCTTTTCGTCCACAACAGCCCGGTCCGCGCAGTCGACTCCGTCTTGTTTCCACTCGGCAGTGGTCCCGCCATGCTCCCATTCTAGGAGTCGATCTTTGTTGGCGATCTCGCCCAATCTGGGGTAGCAGTGTGAATTTTTGGGTCCAGCGGGAAGGAAAGAAAAAAAGTATGAAGATTTTTCCTCCCTATGTTACGCATCGAGTACTGTCCAGCGAGATATCAATGGGCACATGTCTCTCCAGGAGGTGCATTTCTCAATCTCCCACGGCTCAGGCGTCGTTTCCAGGATAGGTCGACGTCGCTGTGGGCAAGTGTGTACTCGCTCCGAACGCGGATATTTAAGAGCACGCCGCATCGCATGACAGCATGGCCGATCTTGCCAGTGTTGACTATCGTGATATGTGACCGCCGCGACAGCGACAGTGTCGCCTTCGGTGAGCGACTTTCCTCCATCAATTATGCCGCAGCCTCCCTCTAACGAATTGGCGCGGACCTGAGCAATGAAAACATTGGGAGAATGATCGTCGGCGCCCTGAGAGAGACACTAACAGCTGGGGTATCGCTCAACGAACGGAGACAGGTGGTTGCTATAAAAAGAATACCTCCACGAGTTTCCCGCCAAGGAATGCCGCCCCGTCGTTCTGCGGAAGAGCCAGGTCAACTACGCTCGTGACACGTTGTCGGCAACTCTCGTTCGGGCAACACCCCTGGAGCGCCGAGGGGTCACCGCGCACCATGATAATCGCAAGAGCCAACATCCATGCGTTTCCAACGACGACGTGCGCGCCCGCGGGTCCGTCGTCGGCGTCAGTCACGACTGATATGTGGAAAGCTTTCGGGTTGTGCGTGGGGCCCTCGGGGTTCTTCCAATTGCGCAGAAATTCGCTGACCTCTCTTATGCGTCCTGCGCAGTCATCGGTGGCTGCGAAGGAAACAAGGAGCGAAATGGCGAACACTCGCTGGGCGCCGGCTACTGCCTGTCCCATTATTCCTGTCCTACGATACAACTCCCCAGCGGTTTCGTCGTCGCTGGCGCGGTCGTGCCGCTGTTGTGCGGCAGCTGGTCCGAACAAGTTGGCCCAATGCCGCTGGAGCGCGGAGCTGCAACCTGCAGGCGCCACCTCGGAGGAACTTGCGGAAACGTAGCAGGAGGGGAGCTTCTTCCCTCGATCGCGCTTCGTCGTAAGCCAAGAATACTGGCGAAGGAACACTGCCGGCCGAGTGCCAGGAGGCGCCAAAGCCTCTCTCCATATGGGTGATGTAGGGTTGTCGTAGATATCAAGGCGACCAGCGGCGCTTCTCCCAGTCCTGCAATGTAAGGTCTTGCGATGGTCCTCCTCCGCAACATGTCCTTCAACTTGGTACTGCGATTGGAATCTATAGCGACCGCCACGCGATGAAGCCCGGGGCATGCTGCGCGAGCCGGGGATCTCTTCGTCGGCGGGACGGGCAGCGATCCAGTCCACCCAGTCGCGTTCTTTTTCCTCGCGCCCCTTCGAGCAGTGGAAAATCCTGCCCATCTTAGTTTCCTCTTGCTCGTGGTGTCGTGTCTACCTAAGTAGTCTACCTACGTTCCTCCCCTGTCTGTGTTAGTTCGCAGTCTATCTTCATGATGGATATCTACCACGAGCAGGGCAAGAGTACCTTGAAGAAATCGTCGCCGTTACCTACCAGGGTTATGCGTGGTTTCTTCGGTGCGGCCTCAATTAAGATTCAGAGTCACCTATGGAAAACAAACTCAGAGACACGACTTTTCTTGACCGGGGAGCCTGCTTTTCACCTGAGCAGCTCCGTGAGCCAACATTCCTTGTTATCATTTTCCGGGGGTGCTGCGAAAAATTTGCATCCTGATGGGAACAAGTGGGCGAGCCTTCAGTTTTTGTGTCTAATAGAATGCTGCCTCATGGCCGTTCTATGCGAGGTGGAACCGTCCATAGTGGCGCGGATGCAAAATGACTGAGAATTCTGACCCTGAGGGCGCCGATCTCGTTCTGGATTCCCATGTTTATTCCACGAATAAAAAATAGATACTCCTCTCCGAGAAGGCTCCCCGCGCTTGCAGCATGCGTTCGCCCCTTTTTTTTCGAGGCCACAAGAAATATATTTTCATACTCAAGAAGAAGCCCCTCGCCCTATTTTTTGGTTCCTACTGGCGAGAGACTCCGCCGACCATCATCATGACGTGCCTTCCAGTTTCGTTCCCAGTCCTCGTCTACGAGAATGCGTCTTCGCGGAAATCCGACATGGAAAGGCAAATGTGGTTCTTCTGCAAAAAAAATGACAAACGCGAGCACATCTCCTCTAGTTCCACGGCGATTTCGCGCTGATTCTTCTCCGGCGACTCCCAGAGGTGGGAATATGATTCCCCGGCCCCCGAGGCTCTGGTCAAAAGAAGGAGGCCGAACCACTCACGGCCCTGAAGGTGTCCACTCAACACATACTTCGACGCTGCCTCGAAAACCGGGCGGAGTCTTCGCGAGGAGTACGGACAGGGTACACCAGTCAGACCGTCGCCGCACGAATCCGCCATTTCCCTCTGGACGAGCGCCCTCACATGCGCGGGACCAATGCGCCGTATCATATCAAGTGCGAATATTTCTCGTTCGATGGCGTCGGACAGCGGAGCCGTTCTGGTGCACGCTTCCGGATGGAAGTCTTCCTGCTCATCCACCTCCACGTCCGCACGCTGGATGTCCGCAAATATGGAAGCCAGAGCTTCCCCTTTGGCACGAAGACAAACATTGTCGATTATTTCCAACGCCGTTAGAGCCGCACGCGTTCTACTGAGCGATGCTCTTAGCATGAGGACGCCCCGACTCTAGTGAAAAAAAACTACACTGGCTAACTTAGTAAAGAGGACACGTCCTCGCATGTTTCGTAAATGTGATCGGTACCACACCACCGGATTCCCCAACATGAGCGTCTCTCTGAGCTGCATGAAATCCCCCTGCAGGGCGGCACGCATCTGGCAGATCCGGCACAGGGTCCGCGATATATCCGCATCGACAGGGTGCCAGTAGAAGCATTGTGGTTTCGTTGCGAGGGGCTCACTTTTGAACGGAAAACAAGACTTCACCAACGACCGCAGATGCAACCGAAGCTCGTTCGGACTGCTAAAATCCGATAAAGGCGAGATCACGTGGGTTATTCCTGGTTAGAAGAAACGCACTTGCCTCGACGATGAAGGGAATTTCAACTACGGGAGGGTGAGGCAGGTAGACCTGGAAAAAGATCCGCAAGTGAGATGTCATAATCGATAGTTGGTCGCTCGGAGTTTCTGCGTCGTTCCACGAACTCCACCAAATCCCCGCACGCCGAGGCGATTTCCAGTCCCCCATCCAAGAAGTGACTGAGGCACCTCATCTCGATTTCGGCATCGACGTCAAGCGTGGGAGGAGCGCAGTTCCTCGACGCGATCAGGGCGATGGCACTTGCGGGCATCGGAGGACCTTCCCAGTTCGCACTTGCCGTGAGCTCGTCGGCCACGATAAACTTCAGATCACCGACCGTCAGGCTGAGTGGCATGTCCGGATGGATTAGATCACCGCACCGTCGATACGACATGCCATCCACGCGGATGCGAGCGGAAGCCTGAAGAGCCGCTCACTCATGGATGGAAAATTCGAGACGGAGAATTTCGTAACAAAACCAGCGCCCACTCGCCAGCAAGGTTGCGCGACAATATGTTGACCTTCTGATCACACCGCCCTCGTAACTCGAGGAAGGCCGTTCGCGCTTCCTCTTGTGCCCGTCGAGCCTCGTCCTTCGCGCGGCAAAAATCATGCGTCACACGAGTACCCGACTCGGCCGCCATTATTCTGAGGGCACACGTATCCACACGACGGGGCTTCACGATAACTCTAAAAACGCAGCGTGTAGTGACGAAAAATACTGTGTCAAGTGCACCTTTGTCATTTCTTTTATCGACTCTTCCTAGTGAGATTTTCCTAGTGACGATGATGCGAAGCCTCACACGATCCTACTTTTTATGGGCTCGCCATCCTTTATAACGCGAGTCACTGTGGAGAGCGCTCTAATTTCACGCTCCGGCCACGTTCGAGGTCCTTGTGGCCAGCAGGTGCGAACACGTGATAATTATGTCGCTTCGTAGACGTGTTTCGCTTCGAAGAAAATAACCATTGGATACGCCACGATCAGTCGGGTAGTTACCACATAAGATACGCATATGAACAGAAGCCAGTGTCGAGTCATTGAGTGAGAACGATTCAGCTCGTCAGAAAATGAGATCACTCAAAGGGGGTTAGCTTTGAGGGGGTGGCCGGGTCAGTTCGCCTTCCTCTTTTTATTGCACGCGAAGATCTGCGCGTCATCATATGACGCCCAGGAACCTCTGCCGGAGAGAAACCCTCAGAAGATGTCGCTGCTCGAGTATGATGCTTCTGTGGCGGATCCCGGTAGCCTCGTCTTTAACGTGCGCGGAAATAGACACAAGGGGGACAGCGCGATCTTCCAACAAATACCGCGCAAAGTCCAAGTCGTAACTCAACGCATCGGAGCGAATACGGACTTCATCGCCAGAGACGAATTTGTAAAAGACCCGCTTACCGTGGATTTGCCACCGGCACTTGCCACGCCGGCCCGGCGAGACCGCAAACGTCCCCGCTTTTTGTTGCCATTCGTTGAAGACACTAAGGGGTACTCTAATCGAAATAATATCGAAAGACCGACTGTCAGTGTCATACACCATGGCGAAAGCTCGGATATGTGTTGCGGCGCAGTTAAGAACAAAAAAATTTTTCCATACCTAGAAGGTGGCTACTCACTCGAGCTGTCGAAATTGATTTTCTACGAAAGCTCGCGCCGATCACGATTGTAGGCCAGGCCCTTGCCCGGAATGCACTAATATCACCTACGAGACGAGCGCGCACTTGAGCACAGTTTTCAAATCAAGACACAGCGCCCAGCCCGCTCCTCATTCGGCACCAGTACACGCGAACGCACGACCTAAAAAACTGAAGCTCCAGCTCTGCGATGGAGGTGCCCAGCTATCTCTTGAAACAAGATAGGTGAGGGCGAGGTGCATCCTGCGACTGTGTCGTCGCTCTGGTGCTGTGAGGTATAGAAAACGACTCTCAGTAGTGGTTTCACAAAATAAAATCATTCGCCCTTTTTCTCGTGTGAGAACGACGCTGGGCGTTCTGATCATCCTTCCTATCTTATGTGTCAACTCCAGGTATGCTGCTTGTGTTTCTTCCCGTCCCCATCGGCAACGAACTTGCCCAGCAAATTCATGCGTCGCGCGTGGCGTCGATCGTCGCGTCTGCCGCCTTCTTCCTCTTCCTCGGAGGAGCCGCGAGCGCGTCTTCTCCAGGCTCTTCTTGTCGAAGACGAAAGGGGCGAAGAAACGCTGGCACACTTTCCCAGTCCTGCATTACTACATGCGTGGAAGTCCCTGCAATACTGGAGAGGCACTTTAGGAGTCTTTCTGCGGCAGTAGTCATCACTTGGCAACCGCTCTCATCTGCCTCTGGTGCAACCTTAGCCAGCAAAGACGCAACCTCCCTAGTCAAAGCGTCGAAGAACAGGCCACGGAGCGAATTCCTTGCCCAACAAACGCTGCCGCCCTCGCCACAAACTATCGCGTCGTAGATCTTCGCGATTTGTTCGCGGTTGGCGACTTCCCTGCAGTGTTCGATCAAACGCACACGCGCCTCCTCCTTGACTGCGTCAGGATCGTGCGTCAATTGCGTACGCAAAACCTCCTCGCACTCGTGGACACTGCCAGATGCAGCGCTTTTGTCCTCGCCGGAGAGACTGACTCGCCCCTGCAGTAGACTGAGCACTTTGGCGATGCTTCCGGGCGCGCATGCCCGCATATTCCATCCGTATTCTGACTCGCATTCTAACAACTGCTGGCAAAGAAGGAAACGCGCGTCGGACTCCTCGATTTTTCCCTCGGACACGTTCAGCATCGGGAACCTCTGCACAAGCGACACGGCCGCCGGCCCGCTGCAGATCATCATCATGCCACCAGAAGCCGCTGGCAGCTGATTCCAAAATCGATCCAAAGCGAAGTCGACGGCCTCCACGACTGCTGCGCAGTCCTGTCCGCTTGCGTTGGGCGCCTCACTCTGTAGCCGGGCGAGAACTCCTTCCGGCCGCACAGTCCGCGCTAATGCACTGCGGAGCTCCTCCTTACTCACCATGGCTTCACTCTCCGGCTTTGCCTCGCCCTTTTCCGCTAGGACCTCCCTTGCTGCTTTCGCGCACGCTTTGAGGTGTTCTGTCGCGAACGCCGTGTGCACATTCTGCGCATCAGCGGCAAAGCCACGCATGTCGCTGCCGCGAGCGAGACCGCCCGGACACGGGCAGTAGGTACCTCTCCGGAAAAGTTGCAACATCGTGAAGTAATTATCTCGGAAGAAGATCCAAAGTGGTTGCAGATTACCATCCTCAACTGACTCGACGCCGCGGCTGACATCCGGAAAACGCGGATCGGTGTCGAGCAGTCTGACCAACGCAGAACCATGGCGCAATCGTGCTAACGTAGTGTGTGCCTCGAACCAAGTATCGCGATCGCCGTATCTGCAAGTCTTCAACAGCAAACGACTGGCGTCTTCTTCTGGAAGGAAGGGCCTCCTACCGCGAGTGTCCCACCTATGAAGGAAGCGCGTCAAAACTTTGTAGAATTTCCAGTCAACGCGAAGACCATGCTGGAAAAATTTCTGTGCAAGGTCAAGTCGCTGTGGCAATTTGTTGGCGACCGACTGCAATACTGTCTCCCTGTCACCCCATCCATGCCTCGCCATTATACCGAATACGTTGATAGTATCCAGATCAGTCACGAGCTCCGACGCAGTGAGGTGCGTGTGGCGGATGGGAGTCCATGAGCAAGCAAACCCCAAGAGAGGGAGGCCGTGGGTCATTTTCGTACACCTTCCAGAGATTGACAAGACCATCTTCGAAATCATCCAGAGACCTTAGCACTTTCTGGAGGTGGGCTTCCTCACTTCCTAGCTCGACACTTCCTAGGCGCACAATCCTCTGCCACATGATGCGGAAAGACTCGGCAAGAACCCTGCCCAACGTCTCGAAAACGATGACTGAGCAATGAAGTCGAAGCGGGGCCAATGCTGCCAGGAGTTCGCTTATGTCCTGAACCGCTAGAGGGTTCCCAAGAAGGTCGCTTAAACTGTCGTGGAGAGCCGCCCATCTGCCCGGGTGGTCTTGTGCGTCGCGAATCAGGTCGGCGACATCCCTGACGAAGCCACTGAAGCCAGTGCTCTCCACTCCATCCCGACGAAGCGTTGAGGTCACTGCTTTCCACGACGTTGGCACTTTTTTCTTCTCGATGGATACCCTTACCCTATTGATTGATCATGATCTTTCGCGTCTAGTATGCGACATCAACACAATCTCTACAACTCAGGTGCTCACACCGCAAACGTCCCTGCTTTTTGTTGCCATTCGTTGAAGACACTAAGGGGCACTCTAATCGAAATAATATCGAAAGACCGACTGTCAGTGTCATACACGATGGCGAAGGCTCTGATATGTGTTGCGGCGCAATTAAAAACAAAGGAGTTTTTCCATACCTAGAAGGTGGCTACTCTCTCTCGAGCTCTCGAAATTGATTTTCTCCGAAAGCTTGCTCCGATGACGATTGTAGGCCAAGTTCTTGCCAGGAATGCACTAAGTGGGTTCTTGCCAGGAATACACGAAAAGGGTTCTTGCCAGGAATGCACTGATATCATCTACGAGACGAACGCACTTGAGCACACTTTTCGGATCAAGACACAGCCGCCAGCCCGCTCCTCATTCGGCACCAGTACACGCGAACGCCCGACGTAAAAAACTGAAGCTGTAGGTCTGCGATGGAGGTGCCCAGCTGTCGGCTGAAACAAGATAGGTGAGGGACAGGCGCACCCTGCGACTGTGTCGTCGCTCTGGTACTGTAAAGTATAGAAAAGGACTCTCAGTAGTGGTTTCACAAGTGACCTATGCGCGTTTAAGATCAGCCGCGTCTTTCTCGTGTGAGAACAACGCTGGGAATTCTGATCATCCTTCCTATCTTATGTGTCAACTCCAGGTATGCTGGTTGTGTTTCTTCGCATCCCCATCGGCAACGAACATGCCCAACTAATTCACGCGTCGCGCTTGGCGTCGATCGTCGCGTCTGCCGCCTTCTTCCTCTTCCTCGGTGGGGCCGCGAACTCGTCTTCTCCAGGCTCTTCTTCTCGAAGACGAAAGGGGCGAAGAAACGCTGGCACACTTTCCCAGTCCTGCACTACTACATGCGTGAACGTCTCTGCAATACTGGAGAGGCACTTTAGGAGTCTTTCTGCGGCAGGAGTCATCACTTGGCAACCGCTCTCATCTGCCTCTGGTGCAACCTTAGCCAGCAAAGACGCAACCTCCCTAGTCAAAGCGTCGAAGAACAGGCCACGGAGCGAATTCCTTGCCCAACAAGCGCTGCCTTCCTCGCCGCAAACTATCGCGTCGTAGATCTTCGAGATTTGTTTGCGGTTGGCGACTTCCCTGCAGTGTTCGATCAAACGCGCACGCGCCTCCTCCCTGACTGCGTCAGAATCGTGCGTCAATTGCGTACGCAAAACCTCCTCGCACTCGTGGACACTGCCAGATGCAGATTTTTTGTCCTCGCCGGACGAGGCTGAGAGACTGACTCGCCCCTGCAGTAGACTGAGCATTTTGGCGATGCTTCCGGGCGCGCATGCCCGCACATTCCACCCGTATTCTGACTCGCACTCCAAGAACTGCTGGCAGAAAAGAAAACGCGCCTCCGACTCCTCGATCTTTCCCTCGGACACGTTCAACATCAGGAAGCTATGCACAAGGGACACGGCCTCCGGCCCGCTGCAGATCATGCCACCAGAAGCCGCTGACAGCTCATTCCAAAATCGATCCAAAGCGAAGTCGATGGCCGCCGCGACTGCTGCGCAGTCCTGTCCGCTTGCGTTGGGCACCTCAGTCTGTAGCCGGGCGAGAACTCCTTCCGACCGCACTGTCCGTGCTAATGCACTGCGGAGCTTTTCCTTGCTGAACATAGTCGCTCCCTCGCCAATCCCTTCGCCTTTTCCCGCGACGGCTTCAGCTGCTGCTTTGCGGCACGCTTTCAGCTGTTCTGTCGCGAGCGCCGTGCGCACATTCTGCGCATCAGCGGCAAAGCCACGCATGTCGCTGCCGCTCGCGAGACCGCCCGGACACGGGCTGTAGGCGCCCCTCCGGAAAAGTTGCAACATCGTGAACGAAGTAATCATCTCGGAAGAAGATCCAAAGTGGTTGACGATTACCATCCTCAACTGACTCGACGCCGCGGCTGACATCCGGAAAACGCGGATCGGTGTCGAGCAGTCTGACCAACGCAGAACCATGGCGCAATCGTGCTAACGTAGTGTGTGCCTCGAACCAAGTATCGCGATCGCCGTATCTGCAAGTCTTCAACAGCAAACGACTGGCGTCTTCTTCTGGAAGGAAGGGCCCCCTATCGCGAGTGTCCCACCTATGGAGGAAGACCGCCAAAACTTGGTAGAATGTCCCGCCAACAAAAAGACCATGCTGGGAAAATTTGTGTACAAGGCCAAGTCGCTGCGGCAATCTGCTGAAGAGCGACTGCAATATTCTCTCCCTGTTATCCCATCCATGCCTCGCCATTACACCGGAGATCTCGATAATACCCCGATCAAAGACGAGATCCGACGCACGGAGGTTGTCACGATGGGGCTCCATGAGCTCGCGCACGTCATCAAGAGAGGGAGGCCGTGGGTCATTTTCGTACACCTTCCAGAGATTGACAAGGCCATCTTCGAAATCATCCACAGACCATAGCACTGCCTGGAGGTGCTCTAAGCCTAGACTCGAACCCACGGCATCACGCAGAATCCTCCGCCACATGATGCTGAAAGACTCAGCAAGAACCCTGCCCAACGTCTCGAAAACGATGACTGAGCAATGGAGTCGCAGCGGGGCCAATGCTGCCAAGACTTGGCTTATGTCATGACCCAGTCGAGAGTTCCCAAGAACGTCGCTTAACTTGTCCTCGACCAGGTGGTATCTGCGCGGGTGGTCTTGTGCATCGCGAATCAGGTCGGCGACATCCCTGACGAAGCCACTGAAGCCAGTGCTCTCCACTCCATCCCGACGAAGCGTTGAGGTCACTGCTTCCGACGACGTTGCCACTTTTTTCTCCTCGATGGATGCCGTTACTCTATTAATGGATCACAATCTTTCGCCTCAAGTATGCGACACCAACACAATCCCTACCCTTTTTTCGTTTTTCTAACCCTTGCCAGTCGACGGACGTAGCTGGAACCCCCTGCATTTCAAAGAAAAACCTGGACGAGCTTTCGTGTTCAAGCCACTGAATAGACACCATACGCATTCCCTCGCCATGACTAAATAACTCTTAGCGCGATAAGAATGGGCATCGATTTTTCTGGAAAAAACTTTAATTCGAGGACCCTGAACCTCAAATACTACGGACGACATCAAGGCGAAGAGTTTGCGGAAGGCTTACTGCCTCACCGATTGCGCTACGTCGTTCGATCCTCCGCGTTGATCCTCCGTGTTGATCGTCTTGAACATTTTCACCCGAAGGCTTGACTGGTCTCAAATGAGCCCTCCACGCTTAGCTTTTAGACCTAAAGGAAATTTTCATGGGTCGTTTCGGCGTGTGGTTCAAAGGGGAAAAAATACGGGATACTAGCTGGGAAACGAACGTCCGAAAGATCGCCACATTTGCAAAAAAGCGGGTGCGTGAAGTGATACCACACCGGGGGAAGGGAAGAGGAGCCTCGTGTCGCTTGTGAGTACCTCAGCACTTTCTTCTTTAATATTCGTCTTCCCCACAGATCATCTCGCTATCTTTCCCGACCACCTGGCAGGAGGCGTGGCGTCGCTTCGGCGATCATAAGTCTTGGGAAAAGTGGCATATGTTAGGACCCGCACAGCTTTCGCAGCTGGTCAGCCTCCTCGTCTGAGCTACTTTCCCAAGCAAGTGGCCGCCGATCTCGCTTTTTCGCACGAAGTGCGATAGACGCCTCGCGTGCGTTTCGAGCGATTCGCCCACCATGGGCCAGATGTTGCAGCGCGACCTCCGCGACGGTCGCCAGCTCGTCCTCGCTGTAGCCATGGGCTGCGTGGGAGGTTGCGACTTCAAGGATTTCCCTAGTCAGCTGCTGAAGAAAGATTACGAAGAACTACGAGCGCTGTGGTGGGAAAGATTCCCGAAAGTGACCTGATAGCTGAGTGATGCAGGCCCTTTTTGTTGGGCAGAGGACGTCTACGCGTTCGAGGAACGGTTCGTACATATCCACGATTTTTTGCGTGAACCCATGTGATCGTGTAGTTTCGAGGAAATCCCTCTTCTTTCGTCGTCCTCACTTCACCACTCACAAGAGCAGGCATAAGTGGGAACATTTCTGCATTCTAAATCCTATCGATGGTAGCAGACTGTCGAGTAGGGAAGAGGTGGTCGACGATAATTGAGTATTTTCGTGGTAGTCTACGGGGACGTCAGTGTCTGCGAGAGTGGGTTACAGCTAGTCCCTGATATTCGAGCGCTGTGGTGAGGGCTCGCAGGTAGTTGGTCATCTTGTGGATTCGCCGATACGCTACATCCAGAAATGGGTTGCGTTCAATGAACGCACGGAGGGGCGGGAAGGGACCTTCGGCCATCATGGAAGTGGGTCAATGCCGAAAATTAGTCTGGGCCGACGATGGTAGAGGTAGGACCTGCAGCGGCCAGTCCTGCCTGCTTCCCGAGCGGGACACGTGATCTTCTGTTTTATCTGATAGGAAAAAAAAAAGGCGAATAGGAAACGGCGCCGACCCCGGTCGGTCTGACGCAGGTGGTTCATATTTTTCCCAGCAGAAAGAACAGCAAAAATCTAGGCCACTCTAGGCCTGCCCATCGCGTGAACCTGCCGCGGGTCGTGCCGACTGCGCGTTCTGTGCCACAGCTACTGGCCACTCGCAATTGGGCGCCTGGGAACTCCGTCCTGCGGGCCTCTCCGCGCGTGTTGCCTTGATCTGCCACTCTTCGGTAGCCCCACTCACTTGGTTCCTCCAGGTGAAGTTTGCCTCGCGCTGCGTGTTGTCCATCTCGTCAAGCAACCAGGGGCCACTCATGGGGACCCATTGCCCGTCTGGCTCGTGCATCACCTGAAGACTTGAGAAGAGAAACCAGCTGGATCCAGCACGTCATAAGTAAAAAAAAGG